CGATATCTCAAACGCCGGTCCCGGCTGGCTTCCGACTCATCGATGCCGCTCTTCGATGTATCATCCGGGCTCAACAGGGGATGGATTACATGGCTCTGAGTTATCAATGGCGAACCGCGACGGCCTACCCAGAGGCAGATCTTCAATTGACAAAGAACAACATGGATGAGCTTGAAGTACCTCATTCTTTGAAGGAGTCACTGATACCCGAGGTCATCAGTGACGCGATGCTGCTGTGTAGGAACATGGGTCGCCGGTACCTATGGGTAGATCGACTGTGCATTGTTCAAGATGATGACCATCTCAAACTCTCACAAATACAGGCCATGGACACGATATATCAGCAGGCTTTTGCTACCATCGTTGCCTGCGCTGATGGTGTCGGCACTGGGTTGCCTGGTCTTGTTGACAGACCACGACCACGAAACCTTGACAATCGATGCTGGCATTTAAGTATTGACGGACACTGCGTTGGAGCCAGCATGATCATTACATCTGAGGCTGTCGAGAAGTCTGAGTGGGCTACAAGGGCGTGGACTTACCAAGAAAGGTTGCTTAGCCGTCGGCATATCTTTTTTGGTGCTTCGGACGTTTTCTTCAGTTGCTTCCACGACAACTTAAGACTCGGCGAAAAAGAGGCCATCCCAAGCGACCTCCAGCAGATAGGTCGCCAGTCGCATAGCCAAGGATTCGAGACCGGTCTTCGCCGGAGCGTATCACATCATGGAGGTTTTGCCGAAATGTATGGGCGGCTGACTGAAAACTATACTCGCCGAACAATGACTTACAGGAGCGATATTCTGAACGCTTTTGAAGGAGTGCTGAAGGTTTTCGGTTTCTTGAGCAACACTCCCATTCTCTTCGGGATCCCTGAACGTTTCATGTTGCAGGCCATTCTCTGGGGCTACGAAGGCACGCAAGGCTTAGCGGCCGAGCCCCCCGGATTGCCCACCTGGACATGGGCGGCGTGGGCAGGCCAAGCCCTATTCGATGATCACCCATTGAGGTTTTTGCGTCCCCTCAGTCGGTTCCATTTCGGCAGTCTGGTTTCGCTGTTCTATTGCGACCAAGTCAACGGGGTTGCGCGCTTGCGGCTGCTAGAAGAAGACCGAACCTGGTTCAACTCAAAGCCACTTGAGATGGGGAAGCAGGCCAACGTCTCACAGCAAATACTTGGCAACACCATCAGCAAAAGCAGACCTGGGAAGGATCCGATCGGTGCCTGGAACAATTGCGTGCATGGCCCTTTGAATGCCCTCGAACACATTGATATCGATGATAACACCCGGAGAATGGCTGAAGAGCACCCTCATTGTCTGGTCTTCAACACTACTGTGGCTCTACTTAGACTCAGGGCCCTGCCCGGGGACGATGGAGAGAGTCAAGAGACTTCAGCCATTTGAATGGGTATATACACCGAAGAGGGCTTACTCATTGGAGAAACTGCGTTCATGGACAGGGGGTTGGCTCAGAGGCAGTTCGTTGAGGAAACATACCCTGTTTTCGCTCTTGCTGCTGGTCACATGTTTAAAAGTGCTGACAGAGAACGTGTCTTTTTCTCAGGGAAGTATCCATACTTTCAACTTTTTGAACCCTGGGCGATTATTGTCATGGTGGGATCCAGACAAGGTTCATTGTACTCAAGGCTGGCTCTCGGGAGAGTTAGCCCCGAGACTTGGACGAGTGCGAATCCACAATGGAGCCCGGTCATCTTGGTTTGACGACTGATCGATGCCACAAGATGGCCTTTGATGGTAATCTGGGATGGCGGAAACTTCTAGCGGTAAATACTCTTGATTTATACCTAAAAATGGCTGCGCTTGAAAAGTTTTCTCGACCGATGTAGTACGCGGTTAGGGGTTCGGGTACTCGGCCCCTCAAACCTCTCAACGAATTTCCGACTTACTGCCATCTGAAATGACGCTCGGTGTTCCGCGGCCAGGTAGTACAATCCTCCCACAGTCCTCGAGAAAGCAGATGTGTGTCTCAATGCCGGAGACAACCGCATCATTCAGCGAGACGCGACGACTGATGCGATGACACGCACAAGTAAAAACGCAACGAGACAATGTGAGTTCTGTTCGTAATCGCGGCGTCAACCCGCGGATCTTACAGAGCAACCCGAGCATATCGTATTATGCGAAAGAGGCGATCAGTTCCACCAAAGAATGCCTCCCTGTGATGGCAACGCCCTGGGATCGGCTATCCGCGGGCGCCGAGGAATTAGTGGTTCTCAACCAGAACCAAGACACTTCGCTCGTCCGACAAACAAAAGACAAGGCTATTCTGTGCAAAAAGGGATGATGTGAGAATTCATCCAAAGTTTACCATTACGCAAAGGCCAGCCACCAAGAAATAAAGTGCTATTTTGTTGTCTTCTTTGATACAGCATGGAAGTTGCCGAAACGCACCTTGTCACCGGCGGCAGCGGCTTCATCGCACAACATCTCGTCAACGAACTTTTATCGCAGGGTATCCGCGTAAACGCGACAGTACGAAGCCTCCGAAATGCCCAAAAGGTAGCCTCTCTCAAGGGTCTTCAAGGAAAGCATGCAGGGCGATTGCAGCTCTTCGAGGCCGACCTCCTCAAGCCTGGATCTTTCAAGGAGGCGATGCAGGGGTGCTCGGTGGTCCATCATGTTGCATCACCATTTATGATGGCGGAGATGATTAAGGACGGGCAGAAGGAATGTGTCGAACCGGCGTTGGAAGGTAGCCGAAGCGTACTCGCAAGCGTCAAAGAGACAACTTCAGTAAAACGTGTTGTTCTAACATCTACAAGTATGTCCGCGCATTCCACTTTTCTACGACGAAAGCATCGTCGTTTCGGTAAGAACAGGCTGCTGACTTCGAAATTGTGTTTGCAGTCGGGGCCATATTTGGGGACTACGAGGACGTCAACGACAAGATGGGAGGCACGTTATCCGAAAAGTACTTCAACGAGACCAGCAGCGTAACGCACAACCCATACCACTACTCCAAAGTACTCGCAGAAAAGGAAGCCTGGGAAATTGCCAAAGAAGAAAGCCGATGGGATCTTGTCGTGGCTTGCCCAGGACTAGTCCTTGGACCGCCATTGTCTGCCGGATCGGACTCAGGCAGCTTGTTTCTGATCGACGAGCTTCTCAGTGGCAAGCTGTTCTTCGGCGTACCTAATCTCAATTTTGCGACAGTTGACGTGCGTGAGGTTGTCACGGCACATATCAAAGTTGCCTCAATACCCACAGCAAGCGGTCGATACATTGTGGCGTCACGAGACATGGCCAATTTCTTGGAGATATCAAAGCTGTTCCGGAGACTGAGTAAATCAATGCTCATTCCAGACCACCTTCTTCCCGACTTTCTAGTTCGGGTCTTAGGACCTTTGTTTGGGTTAACGAGGAAGTGGATATCAAGAAACCTGGGTACCAAGTTCGCCGTGGATAACAGTCGGAGTATCAAGGAGCTAGGGATTGAGTATCGACCTCTGGAGACTACTCTCAGAGAGCATTATCAAGCATGGAAAGGGTAGATATTGATTGGACTATTGAGTCAAGCGTTCATGAACAGCGGTTCTACCATGAACTATTCGACGATTCATTGCATATACATACATAGCATGCTTTCCTAGATACCAACATGAATGAAAGGAGCCCACTTAAGCAAGCTGTTTTGCCCCGGAGATGCCAATCTATACTCTTCAACAGCTTCGTGCAGCGCAGTCGCAAGATTTAGGTGACCATGTTCCATACTATTTTAAGTGGGTGACATAAGTTTCTTGTAGAACCTCCTCGCTACCTCCCCAGCTGCGGCGTCATCGGCTCCCCACATGGTCCCTATAACATGTTGAAAGCCCAACGTCTGGAAAGAGTTGGCCATACGGATGGCCTCCCCGGCAAGCTTGCTGTCTGTTTACTGGGCTGTGGAGCATGCTGAAAGATAAGCTACGGAGCCCTCTTTGAGCCCAATCTCCTCAAGGAGGCAATCGTCAGATCTGCAGGTCTCTCGTTCTTAACGAGTAAAAGCCTGTTCCTGTTCGAGTCGTTGTTGATCGAGGCGCCCTGGCAGGCGAAGTGCACAAATGAAAACTCCGGTATTTTTTTGAGAATACTTTCAGGGTCAGGTTGGGCTAGGTGAAGCAACTTGTCTGGTCCAAAACTTGCTCCAATAGCCTCTTCCTCGTAGGTGGTGTTCAGATGGCGATGCGGCGGCGGATTGGAAGACATCGTGACTAGAAGCATATTCTGACCAGAAACAGCTGCGGCACCCTTGTCGCGACCATATTTTAGGGCCTTGAGTGATGAGATATAAGACGAGGTTACCCGACTGGGCGTATTTTCTTCAGGGTCGCCGGCATCGTTGCCTGCCGCATGGAACGGCACCCTTCCCGCTAAACCACCGGTGATCCACCACAAACGACCCGACCATGTGAGTGTTGTGACGTCCAGGATTGGACGCACCGCCACTTCCCATAGCCAGCGGAGGCCAGCCTCGGTGGAAACATTGGGAGAGGCCCGAGATTTTCGTATATCCCTCCTATCTGGGTTCCCACCGCTGTTGAAAACTGAGGCATGGCTCTGAAGAGCGGCAGGTGTAAAGCCTGGCAGGTGCAGAAATTTAATCCCTTCTTTTGTAGCAATCATAGCGTCGCTGCGGAGTTCGGACACGTTGATCGTTACAACGGGACCATCTATTGCAAGTTGCATCATCTGATTAGCGCTGAGGGGCAACTGGAACTGCTCAAACCCTTTCAAATGTCTGATCTCCTCTTCCATGGAGGCCATTTCGCGGATTAGAGATTGCTGAAGGGCCGTGTCTTTTTGATTGTTGGCAGCGCTTTGGGGCTGCCTACTTGCATGTGCAACTCAGGTCCTAAGGTCAATGTAGGCATTGGCGTATTCGGGGTATCTTCTCTCGAGTTCTGAAACATCGCTCCTTGATTTCATCGGAAGCCCTGCCAGAATGCAGTTCGCAGCTTCTAAAGACTTGATTGCCTCAATGGGAGGGCGTCCCACAGCTAGCTAAGCAGATGCCGCAAGGCTTCCGAGGTTTGGTATTTCACGTAGCGTCTGCTGCAAGTCTTCTGCAGATGCCGCTTGGATGTTGCTCTCAGTCAACAGCCCAACAGCATTTTGGAAGATGTCGTTCGCCTGTGTCCGCTCTCCGTATTCCCAGTGAATGAGACCGGCCTGGAGTGTCGAAGGGATCCTGACCAGAAGTGTCGCCGTTTCTGTCTTGGCCGCCTCAATGAACAATTCCTTGATTTTTGGGAGTGACTCGGGGTCTTGGAAGACAAGGTATTTGGTGTACAACATCGACGCAAGATTCTTTCTTCTCTCTCCAATAATCCTGCTGTCGGGTTTGGTGTTCGATAGAGCTTGCTGCCCGGTCTCTATCGCCGTTTGGAGAATGTCGGTGTGTTTTCCATCTGACGTGCTCAGGCAGAGGATACCGTGCTGAATCTCCCAAAGGCGCGAGAGGCTTGCAAATAGGACAGAGTTACTGATTGTGCAGCCTTTGTTCAGTTCAAGCACGCGGTCGAGGAGTTCGATGCCTTCTTCTGTCCACTTGACATCTTGCGTCAACTTAGCCATGGTCCCCATCCACGAAGAAACAGTGTTTATTAGCATCAGTACGTTTTCTGCGTGAGGCGGAACGATTGAAAGTGCTTCCCGGCCAAATTCTTGCGGATTTAGGTCTTGATATCTCCTGCTTTTCAGCTCGGGAATTGAGCCATGAGAGTAGAGACCAAAGGCACGCATCGTGTCGCTATATCGCGCATCGCTCATCTGAGCCAAAAAGAGCTCCGAAAGTCGAACTATTTCTTCCAGGCTGTCCAAATGAGCAGTCACATTAAAGTGCGTACTCAAAGCCGCTGAGGTGCCCATGTATTCGTGGTCACGTATGGCTCCGTCCAGGAGCGTTTCAATGACTTGTAACCCGCTTCCATGCCTTTCTCGAGGACGGATCCAGTTGCCTCAAATCGAGACACTAGGACAGCCGAGAGATACGAAAGTCGCGAGGACTTATAAGAGGTCGGGAAGATGCCAGGTGCTCCTGCTTGTTCTAGAAACTCGAAGGCTTCGTCAAGAGACCCTCTGCTGCGATAAAAGCAGCTATTATCACAAATCATATCGCAAAGGTTTGCATTTGCCGCCCTCCACTGGTGGGTATCATGAGCGAAGCATGTTAAGACAAGTTTGCCGTACTTGATTGCACCTTCGAGATCCTCGGCCTTGCTCGAGTATCGGAATTGACCTTTGAGTGAGGCGGCCAAAATTGTTGAAGACTGGTCCCTTGCTAGTATCGTTTGGCGTAAGCGCCTCCACAGCTGCCCGACCTGCTTGAACAGCCTCAACCACGTCTTCTGGGACTCCGCACTTCTTCCACTTCGCATGGCAAACCGTGCACTTGTCGTTCAATATGGCTGCCTGGTTCGGGTGGCCTGGTTCCATGGTAGCCAGAAAGTTGTCGATGCGATCGGCGCCATCTTGCAATTCCTCGATAGAAGCGTTGCGGATATCAACGGGCTTATTATGAGGCCGAGACGAGCTGGATATGTCGGGCAGACGAAAGCTGTTACTGGGGCATCGCATGATCACCAATAATCAAGGTGATTGTAGGCCTTTCGTACTCTGTACTGTAGAGATAGCCGCCTCATGCTCTGGCGACCCATGCCGCATTTGGGTCGCCCACGTCTTGCTGCATCCAACATTTGCCAACCCACCACAGCAGCAGGGATTAGCAGTCGCCTGGCGGATATCCCTCCCCTTTTGAGATCAAGGGTCAGTGAATTCAGAAGGATGCTATCAGGCGTATTTTACCGGCATTTGGAGACAACCTGCTTTCTTAGAAGTCACACCTAATGACCCTGAACGCCAACTCGCGCCTCGTAGCAAGCGCACCATCTTCGCCAGATATCTTGACTTCGATCCATATCATGATTGAGCCTCACGTGGTCCCCAACGATCAGGCTTCAGGGGGGACTGCATGCACTTAGCGACGAAGACTATTGGCCGTCAGTAAATCGCCACCCAGCGAGGGAGTGCTGCGCGGCATGGGATTATCGCGGTCCAGCAGTGGATCTCGGAATACGAATGCAGCTCTGTGTAGCATACACACGTGATATGCGGGGTTTACTGCATGTTCATCGACTCATTTTGCCAGCCTGGTCATGAATTCTACGTTCATCACATCACTTGTAGAAGAGCGTTTCCTAGGCCCTTGCGGCATTCGGCAATTGTAGCAGGATTTCAACATCGCCATGGCGCGAGAGCGCAAAAGAGATACCTTTCTCCGTCTATTCAGGTCCAAAGACCGACGACTGGCGGCTTCGCAAGCGGACGATAGCAAGTCGGTCTCATCTACCTCCGAGCTCGCACCCGCAGTGCTTTCAACACTTCGAGCGGGCACACCCGACCGAGCACCATCAGAACAGGTTGAGATACCGAACACGCAGCAGCAAGAGCCTGAAACGCCGAACGACGTGTGGGCTGCAGCTTTTCGGAAGTTCCAGGAGAGCGATGGTGATTTGGCCATAGCTTACGCTAAGCTTCTCAACCCTACACATGAGGATGATGCCACCAAATTCGATGTCAACTTTGTCGAGTCGACCGTCAAGAGGCTTGACAAAACGCGAGAAGAGAAGCAGTGGAAAGTTGCGTTTGCTGGAAGGAGTATTCATGTGCGCTCACAAGTTGAAAAGATGGTGAAGTTCCTGCTCTGGGCAGACACTGTGGTGAAGCCTGCACTCAGCACTCAGCCATACGCCGCGTTAGCATGGTCGGCAGTTTCCATCTTCCTGCCAGTAAGACGAAACCTGTCTCAGTCTGGTGTTCAAGTATACATACTGACATGGTCAGCTCGTGAATGCGGGAACAGAGCTGCACGAGGCGATGATGGCTGGCCTCGAAGAGATCAACCGCATGTTGGTGTTCTGGAAAATTTCAGAGAGCTCTGTTTATCCATTCCGGAGCCACGCAAGAAAAGACTTTTACAACATCTTCATCGACTTGCATAGTCACATTATCAGATACTATGCCCATGCAGTTTACCATTTATCATCAACCCAGCTTTCCCGAGCCCGGGAAAACTTGGTTGGGTGGAATGGTTGGAAGGCCGAGACCAAGAGCATCAACGATTTGAACCTTAATTGCCAAAACTATCTCAAAGCCGCTCAACGTAAAGCATTACAAGATAGCATGGAGATGAAGCTGGTCGATATTCATAACTCTCGGATAGCTCTCAAAGAGATATCTAGGATCTTGGAGGAGATCCAAATTCAGTATAAAGACCAGCTTGAGGCAAGGCTATTAGAAAGCCTTCATGCAGACTTCAAAGGTCACAAGAACGCTAATCCTGAACGCGTTCAAGGGACTTGTGAGTGGGTTTTCCAAGACGAGAGATTCCATCGGTGGCGAGATAACGAATCTTCAAGTCTACTTTGGATATCAGCTGGACCAGGTTACGGGAAGTCAGTCTTATCGAGAGCCCTCATCGATGAAAATCTTCTCCGGTCTTCAACAAGGGCTGCGACTTCTTCGATCTGTTATTTTTTCTTCAAAGATGGTGACGAGAGGCGCACGAGGGCTTGTGATGCTGTTGCTGCTCTTCTTCATCAGCTATTCGCTCAAGATTTGACCGGGAATCTCATAAAAAAGGCAAAGACTCCCTACCATCGTGCGGGTGCTGGTCTGAGAGAATCTTTCGACGAGCTCTGCGACATCCTCACAAATTGCGCCTCTTCGCCGGACGCGGGTGAGATAATTTGTGTTCTAGACGCCTTCGATGAATGCAAGGCATCCGAAAGAAGGAAAATCGCAACCTACCTTAGCAAACTCTACAACACATGCCAACACGACTCGTCACCAATTTCAAGTCTGAAGGTTTTCATCACGAGTCGTAATTGGGGTGACATCAAATTCTCGTTGGAAAGCCTTTTCGAACCTGATCACCCCTCACAGAGCTCGCATATCAACGGAGACGAAGCCTTGTTGAAGATTGGGGAAGAAATTGAGCTGGTAATAGAGGAAAACTTCCCCACTATAGCAGGACATCTCCCCGACGAAAAGGAATACCTGGACCTTAAAGAACGCATGAAAGGCATGCAAAATCGGACCTACCTCTGGCTCCGTCTTTTTTTTCAGATCATCAAAGAGAAGCCCAACAAATACAGGAAGAGAATCGAGATCATCGAACTTTTGGAAAGCCTGCCTTCCGAGGTTTCAGAGGTCTATGAAAAAGTTCTCGAACCTTTCTACAACGAAGACAAGACGAAATTGCTCTTACAACTCATGCTGGCTGCTCCTCGCCCGCTCAAACTGAGAGAGGCCAACGAAGCTCTCACTGTTCTCTCCACAAAGACAAATGAATGGAAGTCGACAGAGGATTTTGACAACGACTGTTGGGGCGAAGACTTTGAAAGTGTCGTGCAGGACCTCACGGGGTCTCTGGTAGTTGTGACAATAAACCGCTATGACGACCAAGAACTGTCTTTTTTACACCAGACAGTCAGAGAGTTCTTACTCAGCTCGAAGCCTTCCCCTGGATCATGGAAGGGAAGGTTTGGCTACCCTGAGACACAGACAGTAATGCTCTCTGCCTGCCTAGAGTCACTATCTATCTTGCAACACGAAGACAACAGAGCTGAGGCTTGGCACCTCGGTAATGGTTTCCGCACATTTTCCGCTTACTTTTGGCCGAAATTATATGAGCTGCAAGATTATGATACGCGAGAAGAAATGTACGGCCAAGCCCGATTACTCTGCGATACCGCGCGACCCGGCTCCGCCGCTTGGCTGGAATGCAATAGTGACTGGGAACGCTTCAGATGCAAAAGTGGATTAGAGACCAGAAGCGTCGACATCCTTAGCATCGTTGCGTTCCTTGGACTCACGCACTTGGTGGAGAAGATTGCATCGACAGATCGTCTTGATTTCAGCAAAACAAGGCAGAACACGGTCAGCCCCCTCCAAGCTGCGTCATGGAACGGGCAGTTGGAGGTTGTTAAAGCCCTTGTTCGAAAGAAAACCGACATCGAATACGATTCCTTGAAAATCGGTTCACCTATCGAGTGTGCGATAGAAAATGGAAGCGTCGAGGTCGTCGAGTTTCTCCTCACGTGCAGGCCTGCGCCAATTATCAAGGAACCAACTTTGGCATCTGCAGCGAGTACATCCGAAACCCGCATATTGGAACTGCTTTTGCAGGCAGTCCCAGACATGGAAGTACCAGAAAAGCTGCTGGAGTCCGCAGCCAAAAACAAGCTCTTCGGTGGCCTGGTGCTAAGGGTAATCTTGCATGAGCGGCCTGCGCTGATACTATCCGATCAAATTATTCACGATGCTATTAAAAACGAATCTTGCGATACAGAAGATTTGAAAATCTGGCTTGGAAGACCGGCCGATCTTCATGTCACGGAGGAGATGGTGGAAAACGCCTGTCACAGGTCAATTGGTGCTCTGGAATTGGTTAGCTTCCTCCACAGGAGAAGTCCACAGGAGAAGTCCAGGTGTCAAATTGGCCGATCATGCGTTGCTTCTTGCAGCTGAAAATAACCAAGTCGGCCTGGATGTCTTGAAGTTCTTCTCTGAGAATCATCCTGGCCTCAAGATCCCTCAAGAGGCTTTTCACGCGGCTGCCAGGAACGCCACTTTTAGCGTGGAGATGCTCCATCTATTTTTTGAACTAGAGCACAGCAAACAAGTCACACCTGACTTGATTCTAAATGCTCTTTACAATCCCGTCAGAGGGCCAGCCACCTTGGATTTCTTGGCATGCCAGGATGAATTCAGCATCACGCAAGGCTGTCTTGATAATTGGTTTCAAACAGGGAATTGTGGTCTCCTTGAAAATTTGGGCCATGCTATGAGATTGAGTAAAACTGAACTTGTAATCACGGACAAGATCATGAAGGAGATAGCTCAGTGGGATCTAGACGGGGTCAAAACGTTCCTGGAAGCTGTCGGATCCAACTTTTCTATTTTCGTTACCGATGACATTTACGAAGAGTCATACCGGGCTTGTCACGCATCAAGAGATCCTGAGATGCCCTATTCCAAAAGATATGAACGATATGATATCATGAAGTTCCTTTTGGATGCTCAGAGATGCGACATTCAGATGAGAGGAGATGATGGTCATCCACTTACTAAGAATGAGGTGACGGGCAGGATGAAGTTGTGGAGAAAGGAGCTCACCGATTTCTACGGAACTGATGCGGATAACGTTGACGACACGGTTGAATGAAGTTTTCTGGTATGTCACAGCATGTAGCAGAATGAGTTTATGAGCAACCACATACCATCCTGGCCACAATGTCCGACCCAGCCTACGCCGACCAAATCGCCTACTTCAACACCATCCCCTGGGTCTCCGCCATCCTCCGCGAGCCAGGCCTGATCTCCATGCCGCCCATCACCCGGCACTTCGACCCCTCCCTCCGCGCCTCCGAGTTCTGGGGCGTCACCCTGCACAGCAAAACCACCATCCCCTACTTCATCGGCTGCTTCCACCCCCCTCCGCCTTCCACGCCCTCCGATTCCGCACCCCTTGAGGAGAAATACATCGCCCACGTCCGCTTCTTCCTCAAGCTCGCCCACGGGCTAAGCACCCTCGAGCGCGAGCGCGTGCACGGCGGCGTCGTGGCCTCCATCTTCGACGAGTGCGCTGGCGCGGTAGGGTTCGTGATCAAGATGTATGGGAGGATGGAGATGCTCCCGCATGTGACGCGGACGTTGGAGCTGGAGTATCGGAGGACGGTGCCGGTTGTGGCGGTGGTGGGTGTTATTGCGAGGTTGGTGAGGGTTGAGGGGAGGACCTTTGCGGTTGAGATGGAGATGGTGGATGAGGAGGGGGCGGTGCTTGCGAAGGCGGAGGCGGGGTATGTTGTGTTAGAGAAGGGGAGGAAGGGGAAGTTGTAGAAGGTGAGGTTTGACAATTTGTCTCTGGAAGGGATGATCGTGAGAGTGGTCTCTTGCTGTCGATGAGGGCGGTAGCTTGCAGAGTTGTTCTTCAAGATGTTGCTAAGAAGTATTAGAGCCGACAGAAGCAATTCTATAATAACACATATGTCTTCGCTGCTTAGAAACTAATCCAAACCATTCTATCGTCTACTTGCTCTAATATTGTTTACATCCTGTACATCATCCCTTCTTGTACGAGTTCTACCATCTCTCATCATTCCACACGCTACCTCTTCCTCACTCCAACCTCCGCCAACACCTCCCGCGGCCCCAGCCCCATCCACCGCTCATACGTCTCCTCCCCCGAAGCCCACACCATCCCCAGCATTCCCGCCGCATTCACCCCGCCCCCGTCCACATCCATCTTCGTCCGCGGCACAACCACCATCCACCGCTCGCTCAGCACCACATTATGCGGCACCGCAACCCCGTCCTCCTCAACAACCTCCTCCCGCCCAGGCACCAGCGCCGTCGCCGCGCGGAGCATCTCGCCATACATCCCAGCTACCTCCTCCCCCCCGGGAACCCCGTTCTCGAACCTTTTGAGGAGGTACTCATACGGCACCGCGGCCTCTAACTCCCTCACATCAGGCCATAGCCGGAAATCCGTCGGGGCGGGTATGACCTGCATATGCTTATGCAGCCTTGAACACCCGCCGTCCTTCCCGCAGTTGAAAATCACAAGATATTCACTTTCTCCCTTCGAATTCAGCCCGCGGAGCACATCCCGCGCAGCTTCTAAATCCTCCCTCCACAACGGCTCAAACTGTCGCCGGTAGCCGTTTCCCGTGAGGAGGATCAGGTGCGGCCTGTACGCGCAGAACTTGTTGAACATGAGCACGTGCGTGTTGTTGACGGGGGAAATGACGAAGCCCGCGACGGAGATGTCGCCGCCGGGGATCTGGCCCTCGGAGTCGAGCTCCATGGCGTTGGTGT